CCCATTTGTCAAGAGACAGGAAGAACAGAAAATTACTGTGTACCACCACCACAATCAAATTCCACATCCTTTTTTAGTACCCCCTACGCCAACTGCCCACCTGCTACATGCCATTCAGACCAGGTTTATAGCCCCACATGCATGTGTGCACATCCATACACAGGAACTCTATATTTTAGAGGAATTTTCTTCTCAGACTTGGAGAACCCAACCCGATATGCAGCTTTACAGCAATCTTTGATGCAGTTCTTCAAGTTCAATCATCTTCCTGTTGATTCAGTTTCACTAAGCAATCCAAGAATGGATTCTCTTAAATATCTTACATTGAACCTTAGTGTCTTTCCATACGGCCAAGCTAGTTTCAATCAAACAGGAGTTTCTTTGATTGCATATGCATTTAGCAGCTTCTCTTTCTTTCCACCAGAGACTCTTTATGGATCTTATTTTTTCCTTGGTGACGAGTACAACTACTTTCCAGGTATCTACACAATTATTATAGAACTGTAAAATTTAGCCTTATTTGATGTTACTCCATGCTTTTTATACTCATAAGTGGCTTCTTCAGATGAACCTAAAAACTCCAAAAAATCAACTATTGGCATCATTATTGGAGCAGCTGTTGGTGGTTCTGTGCTTCTGCTACTTTCATTGCTTGCTGGGATTTATGCTTTTCATCAAAAGAAGAAGGCAGAAAGAGCAAGCATAGAGAGCAACCCTTTTGGTATGATTGGCATTTATTTACTGTAGCATTTTCAGGTTGATTACGCACAAACTCTACTGGACAACAGTGATAACTGTTAGAGGTTTTGTAGTAGGTTTGACAGTTCAAAGTGATGAGTTTTGGGATTAATTTGAATGAGAAGAATTTTTTTTTTCTTTTTTGGTTCTTGGGAAAGTGAAGGAAAATTGGAGTGAGAAATCCCAGTAGAATTTCATTTTTTTATTTTTTTATATTTATAAAGTTAATTAAATGGTTGCTATGGATTTAATTTATATTTAAGTCTTCAGTTAAAATTAATCAATGGTTAATTACTCAATTGTTTAGGTAGATAACCTAGTTTAAATAGTGATGTGAGTCCTGAATTATTTAGGTTGATAACCTTTTTTAATGGAAATTAATTGGGAGATGCTCCCTCTATTCAAATTTAGTAGTCCTAATTTGATTTTTAAGACAGGAATTTTATATATATGAAAGTTTAACATATTATATAAATGATAATTAAAATTTTTTTATCAAATAAAAATACTCAACAAGAACTATATGTAGGAAAAAAAATTTTCAATTGTTGTTTATATAAGTTGTTAAATTTTCATATGGAATTTATATCTAAAAAGTCAAAAGGTCAAACTAAAACAACTAGATTTGAACTGAGGGAATAACTTTTATTGTATAACCTTTTCATATAACCTTAGTAGCTTTTATTGTATAACTCTTTGATATAACTTTACTTTTTATTTAATGACTGTCTCTTTTCATTCTAATGGGACTCATATGTATCTATTTATTTAATGATATATGAAAATGGTAAATAAGTTGTGTGTATCATGT